ACTACAGATCTGGGGTCTGTATAGTTGCCACTACAGATCTCGTGTCTGTATAGTTGCCACTACAGATCTCGTGTCTGTATAGTTGTCACTACAGATCTCGGGTCTGTATAGTTGTCACCACAGATCTCGGGTCTGTATAGTTGTCACCACAGATCTCGGGTCTGTATAGTTGTCACCACAGATCTTGTGTCTGTATAGTTGTCACTACAGATCTCGGGTCTGTATAGTTGTCACTACAGATCTTGAGTCTATATAGTTGTCACTACAGATCTCGGGTCTGTATAGTTGTCACTACAGATCCCGTCACTTCAAGAATTCAATCACCACACAAAAGAACCATATCTCCTGGATAATGCATATCCAATCAAAGTCAAACTGGTGTTGCCTGGTCACCTTTTTAGAATGGCTAACCGTGCATAAAACCCACTTTTGATGTTGTCCTTGAGTGACAGCCATATAGTCGAACCACCTCTACAGAACTGTCCCCTGTCCGCCGCTGTGACTGTTTCCCTTGAGTGGCCGCTCAGGGAACTCCAACTGCCACTCAAGGGAAACAGTCACAGTGTCCTTTCTGGACAGCTAGCCATTCCCAAGAGGTGACCAAGCAACACCAGTTTGACGTTGAGTGTACATGCATTATCCAGAAGATGTAATTCTCTTGTGTGGTGATGGATTCTTGAAGTTACTGGGTCAAGGTCGGGTTGACCTCAGGGTAAGAATGTTAACCTGCTGCTCATTAGCTGCATAACACAGTCATGATATTCTGCTATTGTAACTCAGGGGCAGTAATCGGTTGAGCGACAGTGATCAGCAACATTAGGAGTTCTAGCTAACTCTGGAAAGCTACTCATAACATCGGGCGCGATTGCGATTTCAGTTCGACGATGAAGAACAAGAGCATCTCTCATCGAAATACGTTAACGCACATGAACTCCCAGCAGGGGGCAGCACGTTTTCAGACGGGGCGACAAATCTCGGCGAAGGAACACTACATGAGTCGAACGCGATATGCACCGGGTACTTATTTAATTACTATTTTCTCTCATAAGTTATTATGTAATGTCATTAAATTATAGATTCTATATAAAACTATGTATCAGTTACTGTACTGTTTGTATCAAATATTTAAATCGTGTCGTACATTACGGGTTTATGGCTATGACTATATTGCATGTTTTGTGTTTGATGTTTGCGATTAATGTTTTAATTTTTTTATTGGACGTATACATGCGTTTTGCTGTGAGAGAGTGATTATTGTCATAAGTCACATACGTTTCTTGTCATGCAGGAGTTAATGCAAAGCAGCCATTGTCGTTTGCTGGAAAACAAGAGAACGGTAATCTAGCGGGTTTCCCAAAGGTCAACAACATCAGCTTAGGTAAAGCAGCGTATCTTTTCAACGAGTAACATAGAAAATAACGCAAAAAGAGTAGAAAAAAATAAAAATAAATAAGAAATATATATATCTACGCATATTATATCATTTCACAAGTGGGTCAAAGTTGTCGTTGGGTTCACCATCGCGTCATTTCCCTGCTTCGTGTTTTGCAGAAGAGACAAACAAGCGAAACTCTGTGAACGCGTCGAACAGTAGAACGTCTAATCCTTCTGCGAAGGACACCAGGCCCCCCTGGCGGCCGTCCTACAACGTATCGAATGCACGCGAGAGCTCGGCGGTCGGTAACCGATCGGCTGGCCTCAGCAAGGCGACCGGACGCACCGACTGGGCTGCAAAGTAAGGCCATCTACGATGTAAATGAAAAAATTAATGAATATTGATGTGGTAATTATGAAAACAATGAATTGTAAAATAGAATTTAAATGAATTAGTTAAATTATGAAGAAACCCGCTCGTCGCTGTCACTCCCTAGACAATTTCAGTTGACGACAGATTGTTTCTTTCTGTCCCATCTCACGTCTTACTCGTTCTCCTTTGCTCCTTCTCTTCCTCTGCTATACCAGTATACGTCTTCTATTCCTCGTCTCCCATCTGTGACGGTTCCCTTTTTGGTTGAAAAATTCCACGATGGATCGTCACGTTGAAATTTCTTTTTCCTTCTCGTGGAGCGTGGAGCTTGGACTTGCATGTGGCTGTGGTTTCACATGAGCAGATTCGCCTACTATATCAGCGATATCTAGCTGTACACTTTAGGGGGTGAGGTGAATAGAGCCTAACCATAACTGTGAGCTGTGAAATTTACAGGCATGAGAATTTTCTGCGGGTTCGCGGATTTTCGGGTTTTGGTTTTCGTCACTCTTAGATTGATGCAAAAAACTAATAAAAAGTTTAGGGGGGGCAATGTCTCCTTTTTTGTCAAAATGGACGCCATTTTTAATTTAAACGTCATAAAAAGTCAGGAAAAGTATGTCAAATTTCACACAGAAGTAACAGAACTACTGATAAATATCGCCGTGTATCTATGTAATGTAAATTAAGGCATGCTTTAAGTTAACCACCACATAAAACAAGACTTTGAATTGTTAGGCACGAAATTGGTCTTTTACTAAGAACAGAATGGACTTACAATTTTTCCAAAATGCATGGAAATGGCCTATCTGCCCTTCCGAATTTCACAAATTTCCTGGGGGCCATGCCCCCAGATCCCCCTAGCAGGACAGTGTGCTACGCACACTGCAATCGTGCCTTCGGCACGAATTGAAATATTTTCTCCAAAAACATCTCAACCTGTTCTCATGCCTGAATGTATAGCAAAAGAAATAATCGTTGCTATGTGACAGTGTCATACTGCTAGCACTGGCTTCTTAGAGAAGACATTTCGCAGCGTTAGACTGACTAGCAAGTTGCTGAGAATCCTTGTGTACTGCACCGCGAGCGTTACTTCACAGTTTGCGAATCACGTCTCTCACGTCTCCAATCTTCGATTTCCGATTCTGATTCTTCGATTTCTCCGTTCGCAGGTACCTCAAGTGAGCGCTCGTCTGCCGATCACGGTGCCACACTGAAGAAGGGACTTCTCAACGCTGGGATAATGTGAGCAGGCGTGCGCGCAGAGGACACGCGGCTGGCGCGCATGGCTCACTGTGAACATTGTTACCAGCAATTATGACCACATCTCGTGGGGCGTCTGACCAGCCTGTCTGCACTGTCGACGGATGAGGGGCATGTTTTAACGATCAGCCAAGCGGTTTTAACCTTACCCCCCTCTCCCCAACCTATTGTCCCTAAGCCCTACCACCTCTCCCCACCCTATCGTCCCTAAAACCTACCACCTCACCCCATCCCATCGTCCCTAAGCCCTACCACCTCATCCACCCCAATCGTCTCTAAGCCTACCTCCTCACCCCACCCCACCCCACCCACCCCCCACCCCTATCGTCTAACAACGGGCCTTTGTGCCGACAAAGGTTACCCCATTGTAGAATCATTGAGCTATCGTAGTGTGCTCGATTTGTTTTAGAGCATGACATGACTTTGCGGTGTGTTGCGGCGCGTCTCTGTGCAGGCATGTTGTCCGGATCGTTGCAACGCGGGTCAAATGTCGGTGGCACCACCTTGTGTACAAAAAAGTGAATATTTTTGTAAATAGCCGTTGTGCGCGTGGAAGCATAGTGATGCTTGCGTATCGAAGAATTTGTCTTTGATATCGAATTTGTTATTTAAGTGCAACAAAATACAGTGCTCACTGTGTTCGCTTCAATTGTCAACAGAAATTGATGGATCTCCTGCTGCCTAGTTGCTCTGATAACCCATGATTTGATCTTTGTAAATGCATGCATGTATAACATTTGCAAACTCTGCTGAGATGAACTTGAAAAGGCAAAGATATACACGATATCCCTCATCTGTTTATATAGACGTGGAATGCGCGTCGTGATTTCAAATGGTATAAAAAATCTGCAAGCTCATTTTAGAATTGGCTCTTCATCAATAAAAAAATAATTTAAATCAATTAAACAAAATATATAAACTTGTATATATAAAACATCATTTTAGTTTCATTTCATAAATTGCCATACTTTGTTTAAGCCACCAAATAAGGTTTTGTATTGAACATAGATCAGGAGGCTACAGTGTGGGATTCGGTGGATGTAATGTATTGATCATTTCCAACCTATTCACAAATCAATATGACAAAGAAGAAAGTCTACGCACTATAGGTATATGTCGTAGTAAGACATGGTAGGCGACGCTCAATGGGGTATATGTGGTTAGAAGAAAAATAACAGTATTATTTCATAATAAAAAGCACATTGTTTGATAATACTCTCTTGTTGTCGCATTTGCATCGTGCATCCGCACACATGATTCATATTTCATACATATACGCATCTTGGAAACCGAGAACGATCACGTGGTCCCTGATGATCTTCCAAAGTTCCAGCCGTGGGGAAACATCCCGCGAAATCCCATGTCAAATCCCTACGAGGCCGGTATGGTGTTCTCGCGCGCGAGCAGGCAGCGTGGACAGCCCGGTTTTCAGATAAAATATGAGACGTGCTGAAAGTAAATACGAAATCTATTTCCTACCAAAAAAAATAAATAAATGCTAAAACTAAATACGAAATCTAATTGTCCTACAAAAAGTCTACTTCCTATCGCCTATTATTAGCCGACAAATGTCCTTAAATGCCGGAGTGCACATCTCCTTGCAACACAGCTACACCGCGCGCACGCTGCCGCACACGGACACATAATAATATATAGAGTCTCTATATATGTGTGTCCGTGTGTGGCAGCGTGCGTATTTATTTAGCATTATATTTTATTGAAACTCTCCAAAGTGCCTGTCGTACGTGGTTCTGCGTACGCGCTGCGCTCTCTGTGCCTCCTGAAAAACTCGTCTTTTTCTGATTTACACCTGCCCGAGCATGCATGCCGAGCATGCATGCCGCACTGGCATAATTTACACACGGTACCGATGACCTAGTGACCTAGTTATCGCTCCTTATGTTAGTTCGCTCCTTATCCTAGTTATGTTAGTTATATCCTTATCCTAGTTATATCCTTATATCCTTATATCCTTATCCTAGTTATATCCTTATGTTAGTTATATCCTTATGTTAGTTCGCTCCTTATCCTAGTTATCGCTCCTTATGCGGCCAGGTTGCAGTGTGAGTGTATCTACACGCTACAAGTATAATCAGGAGTCTATAAATATTGATAGACTCCTGGTATAATACGGGTACATGATTGTGTGTGTAAACACAGGCACGCCTTGTGTGTAACAACGGGAGCTTTTCCGATGGCGATGGGGATATGATTCGGGGCGTGGGGCTGCGGGTGTGAATACGGGAGGGGGTGCGTGACTTTTTTTCTCCTGTTTATTACCGTGTCTAAGCTTGTTCTACTGGTAGCATTGAGCTGGCGGCGGTGGGGGGCTACACACGCCAATAAACCGCACACGCTACGGGCGGTGACCAAGCGGGACAGCAAAAAAAAACCGGTTATGCGGTGAATTTTTGTTTAGGAAACGATTCACACGAGCGCTCGTGTCGGTGATGCTTTGTAATTATATCATCACTCTCCGGCTCCATCTCATCACTCCATCCATCCCATCCCATCCATCCCATCACCAACCGGTCCGTCAGGCAAAGCGTGCGCACGGTTCATGGTGTTTACGGGTGACATCGCGATCTATACCCGATAAGCAGTTAAAGGAACAACGACCGACATCCCTACACGTCTACATCAGTCTCATTGGACGGTTCAGGGACGAGGGTGAGAGAACGCGAGAAGAGACAGCGCGCGAGAGAGAAGAGAGAGAGCGAGACAGAGAGAGCGCACGAGAGAGAGAGCCAAGAGCGGAGAAGAGAGAGAGAGACACAGAGAGCGCACGAGAGAGAGCCAGGAGCGGAGAAGAGAGAGAGAGAGAGACAGAGAGAGCGCACGAGAGAGAGAGAGCCAGGAGCGGAGAAGAGAGAGACAGAGAGAGCCAGGAGCGGAGAAGAGAGAGAGAGAGAGGAGCGGAGAGAGAGAGAGAGAGAGCGCGCACGAGAGAGAGAGAGCGCGCACGAGAGAGAGCCAGGAGCGGAGAAGAGAGTACGAGCGTGTGGTATATCTGTTCCAGATACGGACACAAGAAAACCGCTGAATTTCTGTAAAACGACTTCCTCTTTATTCCTTACGAAACACGACTTCCTCTTTATTCCTTACGAAATACGTCCGTCCACTTCAAAATCCGCTCACGTGACTCACTAGCTTCGCTTGTAGCTGGCTGTCTACGCTCGCGCTGTGCAGCACGGTATTACGGTGCACTTAACATAACGAGACGCAATCCGTGACAGTATCTACGGACATTGCCGCGCCGATACAGCCATGGCAGGGGCGGATGCGGCGGTACCTCGCCTGTACGCGGCATCCCCGAACGTCGTGCGAGCGTCAGACGGGATACTGAGGGATGCGGGAGTCTACGATGCTCTGCTGCCCGCACTGCAGCGAGGCGACGCCCGCACCGACGACACCGACATCTGGGTGACCACCTACCCCAAGTCCGGTAAGTGAGAGCATGGGCAGCTAGTGTCGAGATGGGTCGATGACAAACTTAAAGTCGATGATGAATGAGTGTGCACACACGATTAGGGGCTTCTAGTGTCACCCTGCACTGTTCAGTCACATCACGTATGCAATAAATAAAAATATAACTAAAATAATACATCTATATATATTATATAAATATAGATGAAGGGATGGATGGATGGATGGATGAATAAAAGAATGGATGGATGCATGGATGAATGGATGGGTAGATAGAATAACAACAACAACAACAACAACAAATAATTAACAACACAACGTGTGCAACAGTCAAAGTTAATTAGTTAAATCGCATAAACGCAGAGTTAACAAACTTCTTCGAGTCTTCTTTCACTAACCTTCCTCCGAAACCCGGTGTTGAACCCCTACATCAAACTCTCTGTTCAAATCAAACCTTGAAGCTTCGACCTGAGAGAGCTTTAGTTTCGGGCTATTGTAGTGTAAGAACTGAAGCACATATGAATACCACTATATGTACCGATACTGTATTACTGAATAAAGCAGTGTTTTATTAAAAAGCTTTGGATGTCGCGCCGATTCAAACCGTAGAATATTTTATCGCTTGCCTTGTTGATATACCATGTACTTGAGATTGATATTAGCGGATATGGGATTATATTTTCACCATTTATTCTCGTATTAGTATTTATATATGCATCAATCGACATGTTATGCACCACTAGAAATGAATTTTCATCATTCCACGTTCATGCGTGCAAGTCCCATTGCCCTAGGTGTTTGTATCGAGAAAACAGCATGCGGTCTATATAGGGGGGGGCCTACCTACATAGGCCTAATACTTAGATCTAGTCCGTGTATACTGTATGACGTACCCAAGGTCATGAATCGAGTTGTAGGTTAATTATGTCTTATACCTAGAATATATCGCTATATATATATATATATATATATATATATATATATATGTATAATATGATATATAGAATAGATAGAGTAGAGATAGATAGATAGATAGAATAGATAATAGAGTAAGATAGATAGATAGATAGATAGATTAGATAGTATAGATGAATAGAATAGATAGATAGATAGATAGATAGATAAATAGATAAAATTTTATGAGAGGAAAAGAGAGAGAAGTGCGAGTGTGTGCGTCTGCGCCCGCGCGTTTGTGCCATTAATCCGACTGCGCAACGTGTTGCGCCCACTTGTGTGCGCGACACCCCCGTGTGTCTTGCCAGGGGCCTGTGTGTTGTGCGCGCGCGGGTGTCGAGCGGTGCGCCGTCCCCATCTACCGCGCGGCCGGTGCGCCGTCGCGGCGTGTGTGTGGTGGGGTGTGGGGTGGGTGTGTGGTGTCGTATGTCGAGCCTTGCGCGCGCTGCGTGCTTGTGTGTGGACGTGCGGCGCATGGTTTCGCTGTTGCGCGTGGTGCGTGTGCNAGTGAGCAGAGTGGAGACAGTGAGTGAGCAGAGGGAGTGGTGACAGTGAGTGGGCAGAGGGAGGGAGACAGTGAGTGGGCAGAGGGAGTGGAGACAGTGAGTGAGCAGAGGGAGTGGAGACAGTGAGTGGGCAGAGGGAGTGGTGACAGTGAGTGGGCAAAAGGAGTGGAGACAGTGAGTGGGCAGAGGGAGTGGAGACAGTGAGTGGGCAGAGGGAGTGGAGACAGTGAGTGAGCAGAGGGAGTGGAGACAGTGAGTGAGCAGAGGGAGTGGAGACAGTGAGTGAGCAGAGGGAGTGGAGACAGTGAGTGGGCAGAGAGAGAGAGTGGAGAGAGTGAGTGGGCAGAGGGAGTGGAGACAGTGAGTGGGCAGAGGGAGTGGAGGCAGTGAGTGAGGAGAGGGAGTGGTGACAGTGAGTGGGCAGAGGGAGTGGTGAAGAACGATGTGTGCAGGTGTTGCATCAGAACAACAGTGAGGGCAGCAGCCGCGTGACAATGGAGGAAGCTGGGGAGGTGGCAGCAGGAAGAAGATGCTGGGAATGCGGAGGCTGGGAGAGGATGCTGAGGCTGGAAGAGGATGCTGAGAGAAATGGGAAAAGATGCGGAGGCAGGAAGAAGATGCTGGGAATGCGGAGGCAGGGAGAGGATGCTGAGGCTGGGAGAGGATGCTGAGAGAAATGGGAAAAGATGCGGAGGCAGGAAGAAGATGCGGTGTAGGTAGTGGCAGAAAGATGATGTAGAGGCATTGCAAGAAGTCACCAATGACTGAAGCTGTTGGGCACTGACCGTTTTCTCTGAATTGCCCGGATTATGCACAGGTTTGACTGTAGGTACCTGTATTGTGTTCGGATTTCCCTATTTTGTCGTTCGCGCTGTGTAATGCGTGCGTGCGTTATACGTTACAGGTCAGATCGGAGACTGGAAGAACCATTTTACGGTGGCTGAGAGCGAAGCTTACGATCAAATCTACCGCGAGAAGATAGAAGGGTCGGGCTTGGAGTTCGTGTTTGAATAGAAGTTAGGAAGGAACCGGGTGGTTTTCGTGTAGGCAAGTTCGGAAGGCTGTAAGGGTCAGTTTTGAACTTGACGTTTATATAGGAGATTGGAAGGATGCGGGATGGACTTTGTGGTTGAATAGAGGGATGGAAGGATCCGGTTAGGACCTTGTGTTTAAATAGAATCAGCCAACCACGCACATGACAGACGACTGTGACGTCATTAGATGTATTGCGGGAAAAAATATCTGGAATTATATTATATTTAAAAATAAGTAAACAAATAAATACATACGTAACTAATTAAATAATTAACTAAATTAAAAAAGTATACTTTTTTACATAATAATAATTTTATTATATTGTTGGCAAATCACATATTAGATTGTTTACACGGGACACGACACAGTAATACTGCGGAGCACTTTACGAACAGTGTTCTGGTCGCTGCGACGCGTTTACTATAATTGTACTATAATTTGCACGCTAGTTGGTTGTTACCAAGACCTAATAATATATGTATTAATTATTAAGTATTGATGTTAGGGAGAGCTGGTGATTCATTGCTCACGTGTGATGCACTGTGCCGTTGTTACTGTCACATATTGTAGAAGTTGCAATAAACGTATATTAATATCACCGTCAGTGTTGGTTTGACGGTTGTTTTAATTTAATATCGATAAATTTAGAAGGTACAAGTATTGGAGAAGATCGGAATCACTACGACTATATCTAATTCTCCCTTTCTAATATCTAATATCCATTATTGCCGAAAATTGCTCTGTGTCTGGATGTTTCTCTCTATTATTTGTACATGTGCGTGAGCATGTGTGTGTATCAGTGCGAGAAAAGACTGCGCGCACATGTAGCCATTAATAGCGGGGGAAGTGTACCTTCTCTGTACCACATATAATATTCTGTGCGTAGGAAGATATACGTAATTCATATGGCATCCTATGCTTCCGATAAGTGTTCAGATGTGCGTATGGGCGAGGGACAGGTAGCCAGTGAAAACCGCACAATAGTATCTCGGGAACATACAGACGCCTTATGAGAGTATAGTCTAGATTAGAATCCATGCAATAAAAGCAGAACATATATTGAATTCACTTGCACAGACTCCATTTTATTATATGCCAGCCGTAACGCTTGTTAATCATTTATATTTTACATCTCATGTAACAGAAAAATAGGTTGACTCTAAGAATATGTGTGCTAATACGCAACTGTAATTTCACACGATTCCCCTGAATCGAATACTGCAAGAAGCAATGCAGAAAACAGCATCAAACTCTCGTAACCCACCCATTACCAATAACGCAAAGATTTGTTAACAATGTTGCATAAAACACCACAGGCTTGTATATAGTTAGATAAATAAAATTATGTATGTAACACCGATTCTCTAATATACCACTATGGGCCGATTCATTACTGGACAACCCAGCCACACGTGTGGCATATTAGAAGCAGATGCAACCTATATAGACAGGAGCCCGATCCTTGCCAACTGTGCAAAACCTCGGTATCTAGCATAGCATACAGAGAGAGAGGAGTGAGAGAGGGTGCGTGCGAGAGAGAGAGGGGGTAGAGAGAGAGAGAGAGAGAGAGAGAGAGAGAGAGAGAGAGAGAGAGAG